AAAAAAAAAAAAAAAAAAAGTATTGAAAAGGCTGCTTAAAGCTAGCGGAGCCTCGGTTTCGCAGGCTTAATTAAGGGACCTAATGCAAACTGTTGTTTCCCATAACCCATGATTCCCAGAAGAAGGCACACTAGACGTAGAGCTCTGGAAACAAGTAGGAAGAAATCTTAACATTATGCACAAGGGTAACGGGTCCAAGTAACATCTCTAATGTTATGGGCGTTAGGGCTGCTTTGGCCCCGCTCTACACAGAAGAGCCTAAAAAGGGAAGGGAGAAGAAACCGCCACCTTCCTAACCGCCTCCCTCTCCCTCAGCCCTGCTATCACCAGGCAAAAATACCTGAGCCCTCTCCTCCAATAAATTGGAAAAAAGACAAGGGATATGTTACAGCTATGGGACCCTATCTTAGGCAAGTGGCATTAGAAGAGGAGCTCTTAGCCTGCCTGGTAATGCAAGATTGACAAGGCAATCAGTTACATTAACCCATTTATTTTGGTGCTTATAAAGAGATAAAAAGCATTAGAGAAAACAGAGCTGCTAGCCCATTTACAAAAGGATTAATTGAGGCCATAGCAGACAACTTCTGTATGACTCCATGGGACTGGTCAATGCTAGCAAAAACAACTTTAAACACCAGTTAATACCTCCTCTGGAGGGCAGAATTTGATGAATTATGTAAACAACAAACCCTTTTCTAGTAATGGCCACTGTTACACCTCCCCTACCCCTAACATTGGCTCTTCCCAAAAGGTCTGGCAAATGGAGACTTTTGCATGACTTACGGGTTATCATTGCTAATTTGCAACCTATGGGGGCCCGTCAACAGGGGCAGGTGCCTGTAATCCCAGCTATTCAGGACACTGAGCCAGGAGAATCACTTGAACCTGGAGGCAGAGGTTGCAGGGAGCCGAGGTCACGCCACTGCAGCACTCCAGCCTGGGTGACAGAGTGGGACTCCATCTCAAAAAAAAAAAAAGGCAATGTGTTTCATGCCTGTAATCCCAGCACTTTGGGAGGCCAAGGAGTGAGGATTGCTTAAGTCCAGGAGTTCAAGAACAGTCTGGGAAACATAATAAGATCCTATCTCTATAAAAAAATAAAAAATTAGCCAGACATGGTAGCACATGCCTATAGTCCCACCCACTCGGGAGGCTAAGCAGGAAGCTCATTTGAGCCCAGGAGCTTGAGGGTGCAGTGAGCTACAGTCGAGCCACTGCACTCCAGCCTAGGCAACAGAGTGAGACCCTGTCTCAAAAAAAAAAAAAAAAATTGTAGACACCCTTCCCACTCCCAAACTGCTTTCCCCAGATCCATTTTTTCCCTACAGTACATCACCATCTAATGTACCCTACCTAGCTTACTTATTTATACAGTTGAACCTTGACCAACATTAATTTTAATTACATAAGTCCACTTTTAAGCATATTTATTTTTGTTTTTGAGACAGAGTCTTGCTCTGTCACCCAGGCTGGAGTGCAGTGGTGTGATCTTGGCTCCCTGCAACCTCCGCCTCCCAGGTTCAAGCAATTCTACTGCCTCAGCCTCCCAAGTAGCTGGGATTATAGGCATATGCTACCACACCTGGCTAAATTTTGTATTTTTAATAGAGACGGGGTTTCACCATGTTGGCCAGGCTGGTCTTGAACTCCTGACCTCAGGTGATCCTCCCGCCTCAGCCTCCCAAAGTGTTAGGATTACAGGCATGAGCCACTGCACCCGGCTTAAGCAGATTTTCTACCGCCTCTGCCCTGAGACAGCAGGACCAACCCCCTCCTCTTTCTCCTCCTCCTCAGCCTACTCAGCCAACATTTGTGATGATCCACTTCCACTTAATGAATAGTACATATATTTTATTTTACATATTATTATTATTATTAGAGACAGGGGATTACTCTGTTGCCCCAGCTGGATTGCAGTGGCATGATCATAGTTCACTGCAGCCTCAAATTCCTGTGCTGAAACAATCCTCCCACCTCAGCCTCCTGAGTAGCTGGGATTATGGGCATGGGCTACCTACCATATGTGGCTTATATACATATATATATGTATATATATACAGGTAGAGATGGCTAAGAGGGGTGGGGCGTGGGCATGGTGGCTCATGCCTGTAATCCCAGCATTTGGGGAGGCTGAGGGAGGGGTGTTGCTTGAAGCCAGGAGTTCGGGACAGCCTGGGCAATATAACGAGACCCCATCTCTAAAACAAACAAAAAAAAATAGCCGGGTGTGGTGGCATGTGCCTGTAGTCCTAGCTACTCAGGAGGCTGAGGCAGGAGAATCCCTTAAGCCCAGGAGTATGAGGCTGCAGTGAGCTAGGATTGCGCCATTGCACTCCAGACTGGGTGACAGTGAGACTCCGTCTCTCATTTTAAAAAATAAATATATACTTGTTAGACTGGGTGCGGTGGCTCACACCTGTAATCTCAGCACTTTGGGAGGCCGAGGCAGGCGGATCGGCTGAGTCCAGGAGTTCCAGACCCACCTGGCCAATATGGCGAAAGCATGTTTCTACTAAAAATACAAAAATTAGCTGGGTGTGGTGGCAGGTGCCTGTAGTTCCAGCTACTCAGGAGGCTGAGGCAGGATAATTGCTTGAACCCAGGAGGCAGAGGCTGCAGGGAGCTGAGATTGTGCCACTGCACTCCAGCCTGGGCGACAGAGCGAGACTCTGTCTCAAAAAAAAAAAAAAAAAAATACACACACACACACACACACAGTGGCGCAATCTTGGCTCACTGCAGGCTCCGCCTCCCGGGTTCAAGTGATTCTCTTACCTTAGCCTCCAGAGTAGCTGGGACTACAGGTACCTGCCACCACGCCTGGCTAATTTTTTGTACTTTTAGTAGAAACCAGGTCTCGCTATGTTGGCCAGGCTGGTCTTGAACTCCTGACCTCGGGTGATCCACCTGCCTCGGCCTCCCAAAATGCTGGGATTACAGGCTTGATCCACTGTGCCTGGCCTTTTTTTTTTTTTTTTTTTTGGCTAAGCGGGTACGTTGCATGCTTTTTTTTTTATTATCACGATTTAAATTTTTAAAAAATTTAAGAACCCACAATAGAAGAAAATTGTGAGAATGGGGTGGTCAATGTGTGAGAGGTACACAGACACCGATGTCAAATTTGGCATTATGGGTTTATGGGTAGTCTTTGAGAGAGCCATTTAGCAGAAAGGTGGGGAAAGCAGCCAGACCTCAGGGGATTGGAGAGAGCTCAGATGACACTGGAGGGAGGTGGGGGCAGCCAGAATGGAACTGCTCCCATGTTTGGTGGTACCAGGAAAGAAAGACTGAGTGGGGGTGACGTGAATGGATAGAGTTTGGGGAAAGATTTGTGTTTTGTTGTTTTTTAAATGTAGAGAACGCCTGAACACACCTGTAGGTGGGAGAGGAGAGATGAAAGATGAGGAAGTGGGTAAAGCGAGTGGGGATGCTGGAGGTCGGATGGTTAGAGAACAGATCCCTAGCAGTGATGGGCTGAGAGATGTGCTGGTTAGCCTTGGTGGAAGAGGGACCTGTGCCTTTGTGACAGAGGGGAGAGGAGGAAGGTGGTGTGGAGGTGTATGGAGCATTATCAGATATTGAGAAGGATGTGGCCAGGATGGGGGTGGATGCACAGCCTTTCTATAAATTCATCTACCAACAGTTGAAGCCAACTGCTGCAGTGGGGAAGCAGAGCTGAGTTGGAGTCACGAGAAGTGTGGGAGAGCTGTGGACAGCAACTGTGGGGGCCGCAACAGGGGAGTTAGTGATGGATGAGGTATTGCCTGTCTAGCAGACGGATACAAGCTGAGCCTGGTCAACATCAACCTGCGGTTGGCCCAAAAGGCAAAGTTTGCGGCACCCTCCAGCAATGCTCAGAGTGGAGGAAAGAGCTGTGGGCTGGTTCTGGGTGCGGAGCTGGCAGGGCAGAGGAGGTAGTCTGAAGTCGGAGAGAACAATCACCCCACAAACCTAGGCCTCCTCCCAACTGATGTGCTTGGACTGCTTGCTCCCTTGACATCCCAGCAATTCTCTGCCAGAGCCCTCTGCTCCAACAAACACATCGCCCATCATACATAAGCTTTGTCTTTTTAATAAAAAATAAACAGTCTCTGACAAGCAGTTTTCTGAATCCCAAAACAAAAGAAAAGGGAGGGGGAGAGGTCAAGGGGTCAGCTAGGGTAAAGGAGTGAACAAGGCTCAGATTACCCCTACCATTCTCCCAGGGCAGAAGAGATCACAGTCTGCCCCAACTGAAGCAAGAAGGAAGGTGGTCAGACTTCAGGAAAGACTTCCTGGAAGTCAGTGGTGCATGTCTGGTAAGGGAAGCAGGAGGGAGCAGATCCCTGCATGACCCTGGGAGAGGGGAGTGTTGGTGTTCAAAGTGGCAACTTCATAGTGGAGTTTCCAGGAGCGGCATGTTAGCATATGGTTGTTTAGATGTTTGGTGTTCATTACCATAGTGTCCTGGGACAGGCAGGTTTTTTAGGGTCTCTTGGAACACTGTGTTTCTGGAGGGTCCCTGGAATGGCCAGAACTGAAGGATCCTCTCCAGGTTCTTCAATATCAGCGCAGGAGCAGGTCTGGGGGTAGCCCCCACCCTGTTAGAGAGCTCGTGTGCTTGGTAGAAGGGAGTCCCATAGGGGAGGCAGACTGCTTCGCATCACCCTGCTGAGTGCCATCGGTGATGCAGAGTAGCAGAAGCTCCTCTCAGGGGAGAAAGGTGGTCTTTTGTGCTGCTCTCATCCTAGTCAAGGCTGTGCTGGGGCCACCCAGCCAGCATGGCCAGGTGCCTGCCCTGCAGCCCCAGCCTGTGCCTAGAGTTTAAGCCACCTCAGTGCCTAGGCAGTTGTCAGCGTCCACATCACTGGCAGAGGTCCTGCATTCCTTGGGGGACTGGAGGTGTTGCTCTCTGCTCAATGGGGCCTTCTCCCCAGGGGGCAGGGTCTCGCAGCCCTGAACCTTGCCCCGAGCCCGGAGTGCTCCCAGTGGGGAGGCCAGGAGGATGATGAGGGCTCCTGAAAGCACTAAGGCGAGGAGGACAGTGACAGTGACAAAGTGGGGCCAGTAGGACCGCTGGGCAGCCAGGGCGGTCCCACCACTGACCCTGGTCAACGGGACCTCCACGTGCTCCCGGGGGATGCCTGCCAGTTCAGGATCCAGGGCCAGGGACTGGTCCTGGCTGTCCACCCAGTAGGAGACCACAGGGTATGAAAAGCCATTCTCAGTTGCCCAGCACTGGTAGAGACCTCCAACTCCATCCTGCACTATCAGCAAGAGGGAGCCATTGTAGACAGTGGAAGAGGCTTCTGGGACTGCTGCTGGGCCATGACTCCAGTAGTAAGAGGCCAAGGCTGACAGGTGGGGGCACGGGAGCTCCAGGAAGGAGTTGGGGACAGCCAGAACTTCTTTAACTATAGAAGAAAAGGAGCAAAAGGTTAAGGGAGGGGTGAAGGACGGAGACAGGAGGGAGTCTCTAACCTATCTTTGGACCCCAGCCCTTTTATTTTTCTGAGGCAGGGTCTGGCTCTATTGCCCAGGTTGGGGTGCAGTGGCGCAATCTCAGCTCACTGCAACCTCTGCCTCCTGGGCTCAAGCCATCCTTCCACCCCAGCCTCCCGAGTAGCTGGGACTACAGGTACGTCTCTCCACGTCTGGTTAATTTTTGTAGAGATGGGGTTTTACCATGTTGCCAGGCTGGTCTCAAACTCATGAGCTCAAACAATGGTAGAAGAGAGTACCGCCTCAGCCTCCCAAAGCGCTGGGATTACAGGCATGAGCCACTGCGCCCGGCCAGCCTGAACCCTATCTCCAACTTCTATTTCAACTTCCAAAATCAAATTTCACTCCTCCTTAATTTCCAGTCTGGACCCCAAACTAAGCCCCAGTCCACTTTACTCCAACTCTGACACCAAAATCAACTGCAACCTCAATCCTGAATCCCAGCTCGGCCTCCAGCTCAGAATTCCTGTCCCTCTTCCCTATAGCCAGGACCCAAATCCATCCCAACTCGGGTGTTCAGATCTCAAGGCAGGCAGGTGCTGGGGGAGGAAATTGGAGCAGGAATGCCCACCCCTGCCCAAAAGTCTTCCAGAGCCTTTGCACCTCCCCTGGTGAGAGGTCCTGCACTTACTGATTTGCGGGCGGCTCTGAGGCCGAAGGCTCCTGCTCATGGGGCCACTGGCACATGCCCACTCTGGGTTCCCCCGCTCCATGTCCTGCTTCCAGGAGTTCCTAAGAGAGCAGAGAAAGCAAAAATTATCCCTCGAAAGAGCTAAAAGTGGGAAGAGGAAGGAGGAAGGCAGGAAGTGCAGTAGGGAAGAAGGTAGGGCAGGGGAGACTAGGAACAGAGAGGAGAGGAACCCGGGATGGTTAGAGCAGCTTCAAAACTGCCCGGAACCTCCATCCCTGGAGAAACCCACTGCAGGATGGGAGGACTCTTGGAGTGAATGTGTCAGTAGCCCCTGGACAGAGGAAGAACAGTAGCAGAAGCTGGCTGAGAAGGGTCCTGGCTGGCCACCCAGGCCACCATCCAGGACTGGCACTCACAGGGTGGGGGCAGACAGGAAGCAACAGGTTCGAGACTCAGGGTCCCAGGCACAGTGGGGATCCCGGGCAAGGACACAGTCCACACAGCTCTCATAGACGCTACAGTTGGCTCGGGGCACCCTCCAGACACCTCCTGAGAAGCCTACAAACACTGCACCCTGGAGGAGAGATGGAGATTGTCAGGGAGCCCCAGCCACATCTAGTAAAGTCCCAGCACGCCGGTGCAGGCCCAGGGAGCCAGCCCAACAGGCCCCCAGGGCCAGCCCCACTGGAAGGCCATCTGATAGTCAGGTCCCTTCCCACCTGGGTGGGGGCCAGCTGCAGGTTACGAACAGGTTCGGGGTCAGGGAACAGCTGAATCTCTTCCACCAGATGAGCACCGCTGTCCCCACTCACCACAGCCTTGTGGAGCGACCCTGTGGCTATGGGGAGACAGAGAGAGCAGAAGTCATCTCACCTCATCCACAGATCCCTTCCCAACTTCAGTGGGCCTCCCCAGCTGTAAGAAAGCGCCCTCTGAGGGTGATGTGTACTGGGCACGGGTCAACCAGACCGTTCACCTTCCTCTCTGCCATGGAGATGGCAGTCTCTTGTAAATGGCTTAAAATCCCTTGGACCCCTGTCCTTCCTTTGCAACTCCCTGACAAAACTTTATCCCTGGAGAAACCCAACTATTTCTCCATAGGCATGAAACAGTGGGCGGCTGGGTGCTTCTGTAGAAAATCACATCACCTGCCTCCTTCACTTTCATCAAGCATCTCAGGGAGGTCTACCTGGCCACCCTTTTAACAGGTGCAACCTCCTTACCTGGCATCCCTGATTCCCCTGCACACACCTCTACATGACTCAAATCTCATGATGTGCCACGTAATTTACTTATTAAGGATGCTATTGTCTGTATCCACCCACTCCACAGACTGAGATTTTTGACTGTTTTGTTCTCTGCTGTATACTCAATACATGCACAGCTGATACAGTGCCTAGTAATATGGCCTGAAGGAATGAATGAGCTTGGCAGATTTCTTCCACTGACCCTCAAGGTTATCCTCAGCCAGGCCCTGCCTGAGCAGTCGGCCTGGGCAGTCTTGCAGCATTCCCTGCTGACTCCCTCTCCCCCTTTCCACAATGGCTATTTTGTTTTTTGGGTTTTTTTTAGACAGAGTTTCACTCTTGTCGCCCAGGCTGGAAGGCAGTGGCACAATCTTGGCTTATTGCAACGTCTGCCTCCCGGGTTCAAGTGATTCTCCTGCCTCAACCTCCCGAGTAGCTGGGATTACAGGTGCGTGCCACTACACATGGCTAATTTTTTTGTATTTTAGTAGAGACGGGGTTTCACCATGTTAGCCACGCTGGTCTTGAACTCCTGACCTCAGGTGATCCACCTGCCTCGGCCTCCCAAAGTGCTGGGATGACAGGCATGAGCCACTGCACCCAGCCCACAATGGCTATTTGAATCTACCCCTCTCTCCTCAAACTTCCCACCTTTCCTGCCCCCTCACTCCCAGCTCATGACCTTGTGTCCTCCACCCACATAGAGAACACAAAAGCCTTCAAATAAGAGCTCCCTTGGCTTCTTCCCCCTGAACCTGCACACCCACCAAGTCACACCACGCTGCTACAACTTCACTCCCAGCCCAGCTCAGGTGCTGTCTCCTCGCCACCCACAGCTGCTCAGCTCCACATGTGTCCTGGACTCTGGCCGCCTGCTCCCTCCACAACTTTACCTGCCACGTATCCCTTCTTCTACCCATCTCTTTGCCATCCCCCTGTCTACTAGATGCTTAGTCCTTCCTGTCTATAAAACAAGAACCCTGGGGGCAAGGAGGGGGAAAAACAAAACCAAGAACCCCAGCTGGGCCCCACTCCCTGCTCCCGCCACCATCTCCTTCCTCTCTCCCCTCACAGCTGAGTTTCCTGAAGGAGTGATCTCTACAATGCGGTTTCCAGCTCCCCTCCACCCACTCACCTTTCAAAATTCCTCTAACATAGCTTCCCCCCTAAGACACACAGCTCTTGATAAGGCCACCAAAGACCTCCCTGTCTGCCTCCCCCACCACACAAAGCTCAGGAAGGGTAGGGAGTGGACTGTTTTGCTCCTCTGCTGTATTTCCAAAACCTAGAAGAATGCCAGGCACATAGCAGGTGCCCAGTAAACAGCTGTTTAATGAATAAATGAATGAACTCAAGGGTTTCCCTCCTCAACCTGGGGGCAGCCTCTGCTCTAGTCCTCTGGGGGATGTCCCGGAACTCTTTACTCACTGGTTCCCAGGTACATGACAAGATGGCTGTGCCCATCAAGGCCCTGGGCTGTCTCCACTGCAAGCCGTGTATACTCCACACCAGATTTCACCAGCAGGGGCGTCCCCACCACCTGCTCATCCATCAGGAAATGGTCCTTCATGAAGGTCAAGGCCTTATCAGAGGAGGGGCCCACCGAACACTAAAGGAGGAGGGAGGCAGATCAGGTTGGTTGGCCCCTTTCCCTCAGCTCACCCTCCCACCGACGCGTGCGCTTCTCCTTCGCCCCCTCCCTCATGGCAGTCCTCATTTCAGGGTGGTGGTTAAAGCTCCGACTCTGGAGCTGCCTGGTTGTGCATCCCAGCCTCTGCTTGCCTGAGGTTCCTCAGCTGTGAAGTGGGCCTATTACCAAGACCTGCCTCATAGGCTCACTGGGAAAATGAAATGCACTAATACATGAAAAATAATTCACACAGTGCTTGGCATGAAGCAAGCACTCAACCAATGTTAACTGTTATTATTGTTCTCCTCCTTTGCACCTCCAGCAAGGAGGCCTGGCAGCCAGCAGGAAGCAGGACGAAGGCTCCTTACAGGCAAGTACCAAATTTTATGGCTGGACATAGTGGCTCATACCTGTAATCCCAGCACTTTGGGAGATCTAGGAAGGTGAATCACCCTGAGGTCAGGAGTTTGAGACCAGCTTGGCCAACATGGTGAAACTCCGTCTCTACTAAAAATACAAATAATAGCTGGGGGTGGTGGCATGCCTGTAATCACAGCTACTCAGAAGGCTGAAGCAGGAGAATTGCTTGAACCCAGAAGGCAGAGGTTTCAGTGAGCCGCGATTGTGCCACTGCAGTCCAGCCTAGGCGACGGAGAGAGACTCAAATAAATAAATAAATAAAAATACAAAAATTAGCCAAGCATGGTGGCGGGCACCTGTAATCCCAGCTACTCAGGAAGCTGAGGCAGGAGAATCACTTGAACACGGGAGGTGGAGGTTGCAGTGACCCAAGATTTTGCCACTGCACTCCAGCCTGGGCAACTGAGTGAAACTGTGTCTCAAAAAAGAAATTTAAAAAAGGACCAAATTTTACTCATGTCTGCATTTCCTGGCATAGCACAGGATCTGGCACACAGTTGGTGCTCAATAAATGTTTGCTGAGTCAACAACTGAATGAATGTCACAGAAAGGGTTGGTGTAGCACGGAGCATTTCTCATCACGGTTTTGCACAAACTTGCTGCATGACTCTGGGAGAATCCCTTCTCCATTCCGAGCCTCCTTTTTCTCACCCATAAAATGAGGGGGTTGGACCAACTGTTCTCTAAAGGCCCTGCTAATATGAGGATGCTGTGACTCTGGGACACCTGCGTCCTGATCTTCAGTCAGGATCCTTGTTCTCCAAGAGCACTGTCTTAGGGCCAGCCCCAACTCTGTTACCTATAAGCTGTGTCCTTAGATAAGCTATTTCACCTCTCTGACCTTCAACTTTCTCATCTGCAAAATAAGGTAATAACATCTACATCTCGTTTTGATGCCAGAATGAGCACGTGCACCTACTCTCATGTCCTCCCAAAGGGTTTTTTTTTTGTTTGTTGTTTTTTATTTTTACAAATAGAGACAGGGTCTTGCTATATTGCCAAGGCTGGTCTCAAACTCCTGGCCTCAAGTGAACCTCTTACCTTGGCCTCTCAAAGTGCTGGGATTACAGGTTAAAGGGTTTTTTCTTTTTTTTTTTTGAGACAGAGTCTCGCTCTGTCGCCCAGGCTGGAGTGCAGTGGCGCGATCTCAGCTCACTGCAAGCTCCGCCTCCCGGGTTCATGCCATTCTCCTGCCTCAGCCTCCCGAGTAGCTGGGACTACAGGCGCCCGCCACCTCACCCGGCTAGTTTTTTGTATTTTTTTAGTAGAGACGGGGTTTCACCGTGTTAGCCAGGATGGTCTCGATCTCCTGACCTCATGATCCGCCCGTCTCGGCCTCCCAAAGTGCTGGGATTACAGGCTTGAGCCACCGCGCCCAGCCAAAGGGTTTTTTTTAATTAAAAAATTGTTTTTTGAGGGGTAACAAGATGGCGACCGAGACAGTGGAGTTCCATAAGCTGAAGCTTGCTGAGCTAAAGCAAGAATGTCTTGCTTGTGGTTTGGAGACCAAGGGAATAAAGCAAGATCTTATCCACAGACTCCAGGCATATCTTGAAGAACACGCTGAAGAGGAGGCAAATGCAGAAGATGTTCTGGGAGATGAAACAGAGGAAGAAGAAACAAAGCCCATTGAGCTCCCTGTCAAAGAGAAAGAACCCCCTGAAAAAACTGTTGATGTGGCAGTAGAGAAGAAAGTGGTGAAAATTACATCTGAAATACCACAGACTGAGAGAATGCAGAAGAGGGCTGAACAAATTCTTACTCGGCAGTAAGAAAGCTGCTCGGGCAGCTAGGTTTGGGATTTCTTCAGTTCCAACAAAAGGTCTGTCATCTGATAACAAACCTATGGTTAACTTGGATAAGCTGAAGGAAACAGCTCAAAGATTTGGTTTGAATGTCTCTTCAATCTCCAGAAAGTCTGAAGATGATGAGAAACTGAAAAAGAGGAAGGAGCGATTTGGGATTGTCACAAGTTCAGCTGGAACTGGAACCACAGAGGTTACAGAGGCAAAGAAGAGGAAAAGAGCAGAGTGCTTTGGGATTGCCTGATGAAAAGTTCTTGATACTTTGTGTTCTCCAGTGTTTTCCATTTCTCTCATTCTTCTTGGTCACACATATGCCTAAATGCACAGTCATGTGCCTACGTCCTGCCTCACAATGAGGGAGCATGTACCCCAGGTTCAAGTGCTGGATTGTGTCATGTGACCATCCCAAAACTCAGAGCACCCTATGGCCACCTTTGCCCTCTGTCACATAACTTGAAAGCTGCCTGATGGCCCTTTTGCAGTGGTTCCCTCCAGCAAGCCTTGATCTCAGTTGAAGAAGCTCTTTCCCGGCATTCCAGTGCCCCTGTCAGCTCCATACTCCTCAGACACCCTTAACAAAGGCTGTCATGCACACAATGTAACAAATACACAAAACAAATGATAATTACACTAAAAAAATTGTTTTTTTTAAACAGTGTCTCACTGTCATCCAGGCTGGAGTGCAGTGGCATGATCTTGGTTCACTGCAGCCTTGACCTCCTGGGTTCAAGCCATCCTCCTATCTTAGCCTCCTGAGAAGCTAGAACCACAGGTGTGTGCCACCATGCCCGGCTAATTTTTTTTTTTTTTTTTTTTGAGACGGAGTCTCGCTCTGTCTCCCAGGCTGGAGTGCAGAGGTGCGATCTCGGTTCACTGCAAGCCCCACCTCCCGGGTTCATGCCATTTTCCTGCCTCAGCCTCCCGAGTAGCTGGGATTACAGGAGCCCACCACCACACCCAGTTAATATTTGTATTTTTAGTAGAGACGGGGTTTCACCATGTTGGCCAGGGTGGTCTCCAACTCCTGACCTCAAGTGATCCACCCACCTCTGCCTCCCAAACTTCTGGGATTACTGGCATAAGCCATCACGCCTGGCCCGAGCTAATTTTTTATTTGTAGAGATGGGGTCTCACTATGTTACCCAAGCTGATCTCCAATTCCTGGCCTCAAGTTATCCTCCCACCTCGGCCTCCCAAAGTGCTGGGATAACAGGCTTTAGCCACTGCACCTGGGCCAAAGGGAATTTGCTTTTTTTGTTTTTTTTTTGAGACGGAGTCTTGCTGTGTTGCCAGGCTGGAGTGCAGTGGCACGATCTTGGCTCACTGCAAGCTCCGCCTCCTAGGTTCAAGCAATTCTCATGCCTCAGTCTCCCAAGTAGCTGGGATTACAGGCATGCACCACCACACCCAGCTAATTTTTTATTTTTAGTAGAGATGGGGTTTCACCATGTTGGCCAGGATGGTCTCGATCTCCTGACCTAGTGATCCGCCTGCCTCTGCCTCCCAAAGTGCTGGGATTACAGCGTGAGCCACCATGCCTGGCCAGGGAATTTTTAAAAAGACATAAACCTAGACGAGCGAGGGATGGGGAGAACAAGAGAGAAGTGCAAAAGCATCCACATTTTGGAAGCTGGAAAGCAAATGAACAACAGAAAAGACTTAACAGAGAGAGAGAGAGAAGAATCTTCTCAAGCCAGCCCTGGAGGAAGCCCCAAAACATTTAGAAGGCAGGATTCCTAAAGTTCACGAATTACTAATCTCAGCCACCTCTGGAAGTGAGGTTAATGGGGATGCTAAATAAGGAGGATTATTTGAAAGTTTGTTTAAGAAACAGGCTGGTGGCCGGGCGCGGTGGCTCAAGCCTGTAATCCCAGCACTTTGGGAGGCCGAGACGGGTGGATCACAAGGTCAGAAGATCGAGACCATCCTGGCAAACACGGTGAAACCCCGTCTCTACTAAAAAATACAAAAAACTAGCCGGGCGAGATGGCGGGCGCCTAGCAGATTGCCTGAGGTCAGGAGTTCGAGACCATCCTGGCCACCATGTTGAAACCCCTGTCTCTACTAAAAATATTAAAAAATTAGGTGGGCGTGGTGTGGGCACCTATAATCCCAGCTACTCAGGAGGCTGAGGCAGGAGAATTGTTTGAACCAGGGAGGTGGACATTGCAGTGAGCCAAGTCGCGCCTCTGCCTCCAGCCTGGGCAACAGAACAAGAACTCCATCTCAA